AGGGGCAGCTTCTGTCCAGAGGTGAGATGGGAAGGCAGAGAGAGTTAGGAGCTGGTTGAATGGTCATGGGGAATCAGGGGCGGAAAGGAGGAGTGTGCTGTCGCAGAATGGGGTGAGCAATTAGGGTCTCATAACAATGTATGTATAAATTTTTGCATGGGAGACTAACTTGAAATGTAAACTTCATTTAATTACAACAACACAAAAATGAAAAAAAAAAAGATTTTTAAGAATAAAAATGTATCCAGCATCCAGTAAGATATACTTTACAATGTCTGGCACCCGATCAAAAATTACCAGGCATGCAAAGAAGCAAGAAAATATGAGCCATAATGGGGAGACATATCAATAAATCAAAACCAACCCAGAAATGACCTAAGTGATAGAATTAGAAGAAAAGACATTAAAAATAATTATTATTGTATTCCATATGTTCAAGAAGCAAGAGGAAAGATTATGTTAAGTAGAGACATGGAATAGATAAAACCTAAATCAAACTTCTATATGAAAACTACAATGCTGGAAATGAAAAATACACTTGATGGGACTAAGGGTAGATTATGTAAAAGAAAAGATTAGTGAACTCAAAGCATAGCTATAGAAAGTATCCAAAGTAAAACAATGGGAGAAAAGAAGACTTAAAAAGTACACAGAGGATCCGTGAGCTGTAGGATAATTCAACTGGCCTAATACATGTATAACTGGATTCCCTGAAGAGAAAGCAGAAATGACAAAGATAATATTTGAAAATTTCCAAATTTGATGAAAACTATAAACTCGTAGACCTAAGAAGCTCAACAAACTCCAAGCACATGAAACATGAAGAAAACTACACCAAGGCACATCATAATCAGATTGCTTAAAGTCACAGATAAAGAGAAAATCTTAAAAGCAGACAGTGGAAAAGCAAAGTTAAAAACAAAAACCCCACTCATACAATTTTATTGCACATAAAATCGATAATGAGTGACATTCAACCTGCTTTAGTAGAAAAACAAAACTAATACTTATATTCCTTTAAAGTTGCTTTAAGCAAGGGAAGTGTATTCTGGACAATGCAAAAAAAGCTGACACATATTTTGGTATCATCAGTCTTTGTTCTAGCTTTTGAGAGTGACTAAACTAAACCAACAGAATCCAAATCACCACCCCTCACTCTGGTAACCTGCCTCAGAGAGAAAATATTACATAACCACTGTGGTCTAATAGTACCTGTTTCCACTACCGGCCTCAATTCAAAGTAGACTGGACAGCAGCGAACAGCAAGCGTTGCTTTTCCAGGACATGGAAGATGAGCAATAGGCCTAAAAGAAAAAGCAAAATTTTACAAAAAGGCACTGTTACTCAGCAAAAGCAAAAACGGTAAACATCTCAAATATTTCCTCAGTTGCATACCTTTTAAGATTTTTCCTGGAGAAAACATAAGTTGTATTTGTTACATTTTCACCAGATTCCACGCATCCAGCTGGGGAAACAGAGAAAAGGGGCGAGAGAAAGAAACTCAATGTATTATTAACTGTTTAATTGACAAAAACTCAAGGGCATTCAATTTTGGTTTGTAAAATATTTTGCCCTAAAGATGTATTCTCTGGACAATGTTTTTGTGACTGAAGACAAATATAAATTCTCTGTCACTGTCTGGTCTCACCCTCTTACTCCAGTTCTACCTACCGGCCACCTCCATCTCAGGGTGCAACAGTCCTCACTCCCTGAAGTTACAGTTCCAGCCCTGAGCAGGAAGAACCTAAAGCAGGGAGCCCCCTTGATACAGAAGACCTTAGTCTTAGGATCCAGTCAATTCCTGCTGGTAAAGCCCTGTGCCCAGTACTCAACCCTTTGCCTAGCTCCAGCTACCCAGACTCCACCTGGGCCTCTGCTCGTGATCCCCTTGGTTTCCAAACTCAGTTGCCATCCAAAGCCTGAGACTCAGGACTTTTGCCATGTCTGATCGAGCCACGAGGCTGCCAGAAGACCCAGCCCTCTGCTGAAATCTCCAGCCCCTGCAGAACCTAACTTTGCTCCAGGAACAGCCCAGTTCTGAGAGGTCTTCCACATTCATACCAGGATGTACTTAAAACCAGGGCAGACCCTGTCTTGAGAATGACACTCAGAGACAGTTGCTCTTGGAAACATCTCCCTGTTTTATGTTATTATTTCTTCATACATATGCACACATACGTAATTCTACGTGTGACCATTTTACATATACTGGGAAGGGGAGTAGGGACAATATCAACATACTTTTCTTAACTTTTTAACCATTACTTTTCTGCATAGGTACCTTCTTCCCATCTCACCTCGTCCTTCCATCCTCAAGTAATCCATTTTAACAACCCATTATATGCCATTTCTGTATTTCCTCCATGCTCATATAATCGTTACAACTAGTTATAACTCAATCACATATATATATAAATACATATATATATGCACACATACACACACACACGTTGGGTTTTTTTTTAATTCAATTGCTTTTAAAAACGGGGTATTATTTACACTTTTTCTTATTTTGTTTTCCTCAGTCAAATACTCTTCAAAAGTCAACCTGAATAGCACTAACGCACTCTTTTTTAGTAATTGTGCAATATTCATTGCTATGAAAATACCCTAATTCATCTACTCATCTTCTTTTAATGAGTATCGCTTTGTTTCAGGTTGTTTTTGTTTTTTTACCACTAGGAACAATGCTTGCAACAAACATCTTTGAACATATCCTCTTATAAATTATGCTTTCATTTCTTAAGGAATTGAGCCTCAGACGTGGGACGGATAGATTGAAAGGTAGATGTATTTAACCGTTACCAGACTGTTTTCCAAAAGCCTATAACAGTTCACATTTCCACCAGTAAAGGTCATATTCTCATGCCCATCAGCAATAGGTGGGTTTTTTTCCAGTATGAAGAGGTATCTAGTTGTTATATCACTTTGTGACGATTAGTGAGTTTTAGAACCTATTCCTATGTGTGCTGAACATGTATATTTGCTCTTCTATGAATTGCATTCTTCTACTTGTTTTTTTTCCTTGGTTTTTCTTTCTTCCTTTCTGTTTTTTTTTTTTTTTTTTTTTTTTGTTCTTCTTGTCAATTTTGAACATCTCATTGTATATTATATATACTAGGTCTCTGTTTCCTGTACCACAAATATCATTTTCCAGTAACTGGGTTGGCTTACCATATCTTTTGCCATACAAACACTGTACTTTTAAATATAGTCAAATGGGTCTATCATTTCTTTAAGAGCCTCTGGGTCTCCAGTCTTAGTTAGGTCTTCCTCATTCCTACACTGACCTTCTAGATTTTCTTGCAAGACTTTTATATTTTTCTCTGTTATATAATTATCAAATCTACCCAGAATTTATTTTTATATATGATACGTTAGGGGTCCAATTTAATTTTCTTCCCCAGACTGCTGGCCACACCAGCACATTCGTTCAATAATCCTTTCTTCCTACTGATGTACCACTAGGTTATATATTAAACTCCCTTATATTCCAGGATCTATTTCTGGATTCTCTGTTCTGGTCCACTAATCTACTTGTTTGTTCTTATATCAATACCATACTGACTTGATAACAGTAGCACTAAAGCAAGTTCTAACATCTGGTGAGGCAAAGACCCTCTTAAGTATCATTCTTATTTTTCATACTTTCCTGGCTATTCTCAGCACTTATTCCTCTAAACAAAGCTGAGATTTCATCCAATTAAAACAACTCTAGGGGGAACCTAAGGAGAAATAAACTGTGATGTTAATTTTTAGAATACGATAAAGCTTTCCATTTGCTTAGAATTAGAACTTGATTTATAATTTTCAATAGGACTTTCTAGTATTCTTCATAAAGGCCCTGTACCATTCTTATTACATTTATTTCCACGTATTTTATGGGTTTTACACTATTGTGAATAGAGTATTTTCCTCTTTCCATTTCTAAGTACCTATTGCTAGTACAGAAAAAAGATAAAGATTTTTATATATTTCACAATATCCAACCACCTTACCACATTCTTTTTTTTTTTAATTCTGATATTATTTTTTAAATCTCTTGGGTTTTCTAGAAATGCAATCCTACCACAGTCAGAAAGTTTTAACTCTTTTCCAATCTTTATAATTTCATTCTCCTGCATTTCCTAAAACCCTAAAGATAATGCTATGTAATAACAGTGATAGCAGGCACTCTATCTGTGGCTTTAGAACTATGACCTCCATATACATGCCTAGCAAAAAAAGCACTCATCAAAAGATTTAAATAGTTAACTTTTAAAACGTTAAACTTGTCAGAAAGAATATGTCTATCACTCCAATCCAGCAGCTCCCAATCCTGAATGCACATTAGCATCACCTGAGAACCCAGGCTACACCCAGACCAACTAAATCACAATCCAAGGGTAGGACCCTGGTTATCAGTAGCTTCTGAAGCTCCCCCACTGTTTCCAATGTGCATAGGAGTTTGGGAACCACTGCTCTAGTCAGAACTCACTGAACTGAAATGAAGCATCACAAAACGGGAAGCTCTGACATGACCAGTGTTGCCATCATGCCCTCAAATCAAAAGCTTTGTTTCTACACAGAAACATGTACACAAATGTTTATCGCAGCATTACTCATAATAGCCAAAAGGTGGAAACAAAATCATCAATGGATGAATGGATAAATAAACTGTGGTATATACATACAATAGAATACTATTCAGTCATAAAAAGGAATGAAGTACTGATGCATGCTACAGCTTTGAGGAATCTTGAAAGCAACAGGCTAAGTGAAAGAAGCCAGACACAAAAGGATAAATATCGTACGGTTTCTTTTATATGATACATCCATAATAGACAAATTCATGGACAGCAGATGAGAGGTTACCAGGGGGTGGGAGGAGGAAGGAATGGGGAGTAATCACTTAATGGGTTGTTGTTGTTGTTACGAGTGGTTGTATGGGGAGTTTTTGTTGGGTGATGAAAAAGTTTTGAAACTAGATAGAGGCAATAGTTGCACAAATTGTGAATACACTAAATACGATTGAATTGTACACTTTAAAATGGTTGATTATACCTTATGTGAATCTCATTTCAATAGAGAAAAAGAAAAAAGAAAACTCTTTGTTAAGCATACCTGGTGTGAGGAGCAAAGATCCATCAGGAGTAAAACTAAGTCTACGAAAGAATGATTTCATGCTGTCATCATGAAACATCCGATAACTTCTTGCCTGTGGCATACAAAGTTTCAATATTATTCCAAATCTTTACATTCACAAGAAAGGCTTACCAATTCCTATAGTTTTTCTTTACGTATTGTCATTTATTATCTAGAAACTGAAAAATATTACAAATCAAATACTTATACAAAACTGCAAGAGTAATCATTCATGAAAACCAATCAACCACGTTGTTAAAGCTCTATACGTGTGTGTATTTATCTAGCTATGTGTGTTTGCGTGTTTCTACACACCTGCCTTCCTGTTACCTAATGTTGGGATCTTTCCAGAGCAGCAGTTCTCAAACCTCGCTATACCTTAGATTCATGTGAGGAGATCTAAAAAGATAATAATAATAACAACCCTACCTGCCTCAAGCCAAATGAAACAGATCCGTATTGTTTTAATGCTTCCACAGTGCAATCAAGGTTAAAACCACTACTCTATATCATTAGTTCAACTCAGCCTCCAGAATTCCCAATTTCCTATGGACCAGTCCTCCACACTAATTGAGCCTTCATCGTCTGAGATGAATTCTTATTGTAATTCATGTGGCCACGCTTGAGGCCAGTGATCTAATAGCAAGGATATGGGAGGAGCTTAGGACTTCCTAAGTCCCAACTAGCCCATTGCTGTCGAGTCGATTTCGACTCATAGCAACCCTACAGGACAAAGTAGAACTGCCCCACAGGTTTCCAAGGAGCAGCTGGTAGATTCCAACTGGTGACCTTTTGGTTAGGGCCACTAACCAAAAACCACTGCGCCATCAGGGCTCCAATTCAGTCCCAGTTAAAGTACTGCTGAAATGCAAAGCCAAAGTATTTTATACCTCTCCTTCAGCCCCTATTCCAGAGAGCATCTTTGAAACATTAAAGGCCACACGTTTCTTCTGTGTGCCGTACACCCGCAGCACCCTAAATAAAGAACAAAGTCTGATTTACCTCTTCTAGGAAATGAGTTATGTTTCAGAGAAACAATCTATTACCAAAACCGAAGGCCACTTAAACAATCTTCACCCTACAAAACCATTTACCAATGACTTCCACTCTTAACTAATTATGACCAAAGCAAATTTAACAACCTAAAGGAAATATGCCATAATTTTATTTTTTTATTGTATGTTTCAACTTCTCAATAACATGTTCTTTAGGCCTGGTCTTATTTTTCAGATCTTGGATATGTGGCCTAGTGGCAATCTGTATGACTATAAAAAAATTTATTTTGTGTTGAACCACAAAAAAAAAAAAAAAAAAAAAACAGGGATTTGCAAGAGTAAGGAAAACACCAGAAAGCAAATTTGTTTGTCGATAATTCATATTATTCCCACTAAGCAATCAGATTATTTCACTCCTGACTGCCTGAATAAACACATATATCAGAAAATAAATAGTATCTGGAATATAACAAGAGTTTCTATGAAAAATAAACATTAACTCTTCTATATTGCTTTTATTGCCACCTTAAGATCAATCTGTTATAATTAAAAGCAGTTTGATAAATATTCAAAAGGAGCATTTCAACTGTTAAGTGATATGCCTCCGACCCCTGATTTTTAACTCTGCTCCAAGAACACAAATAAATGTAATTATACCAGTAAACATGCAACAAGACCTCCTTTCAGAAATAACATACTTTTACTTTTTGAATTAATTTAAATGAAGTCATTAAAATTACTGGATCAGTAAACTGCAATCAAAAAATGAAATAAATAGTCCAATCCCACCACTAAGTACTTCTTTTTATCTGTCATATTTAGAAAGATATTTTTTTAAAAACTCTCCTGTGAATTTCAAATGTAATTTAAAGCCTATTTGATGTTAGAAAGCTCTTTCTGCATTCATTCACCCATTTGATAAAGACTTGGTAAGTACTGATATGCTGTAAGGCACTGTGCCCTAATTAGTCTCCAACTTCTTATTATGTTGTAAGACTAACAGTAAAACAAAATGCTTTATATCAAAACAAGAACAAAAGAATCACACCTAGACTATGATTTATACTGGTTTAGTCATGATAAAAATACCTCTGCAGAAAATTTCAAGCAAATACAGATGAAGACAACTTGCCAAACTAATGTACCTGTCACAGCTCAGGGTAGCAATATACTGGCCCAAAGGGTCCCAGGTTACTCCTTGTACGTAACTTTTATGTTCATTAAAAATGGAAATCTTCTGTCCTACAAAAAAAGCACACAACAGCATTGCCAAACCAACTCAAGCACAAATGGTATAAACTGTGACTTACATATTATTCTCCTTATACCATGCCATAAGGAGCCCTGGTGGCACAGTGGTTAAAGCACTCAGCTGCTAACCAGAAGGTCAGCGATTCAAACCCACCAGCCACTCTTTGGGAGGAAGATGTGGCAGTCTGCTTCTGTAAAGTTTACAGCCTTGGAAACCCTGTGGTGCAGTTATACTCTGTCCTATAGGGTCACTATGCATCAGAATCGACTCAGTGACAATGGGTTTTGTTTTTTATACCATGCCATCATTCAGAAGGCGGTAACTGAGAGAGATTCTGTACCAAAGCCTGTGTCAGGCTCCATGGACACAAAGATGACCTCACAAAAACCCTGCCCTCAAGGAGCTCCCAGCTTAATGAGAGAGAGACCCGGAAACAGGCAAGTATCGTACAACACAGGAAGTACTAGAAGATCAGAGAGGAGGAGGGGTGACCAACAAAGTAGCGGGTGGGGCTAAAGAGGAGATAAGATCTGAGTTCAGTTCAACAGGCTAGGCAGGATGGAGGGAGGTCAATGGAAGGGAGGAAGAAAGGTATTCTAAACAAATCCAGGGGTAAAAGACAACCTAGCAATTATGAAAAAATGAGGTACAATTGGGAACTGCTAACGAGTAAGGTGTAAGGCCAAGAATGACAAGATAAGGAAGAAAGGACATATGTGACACAGACCCTTGTGTCAAAAAAGAAAAAGGTTCTGGATAGTCAAGGAATGTTAAGTCATCTGCATTTTACAAGATGAAACTGAGGTTTAGAAAAGATCCAAAAAGGGTCACCCGGTAGGAGGTACAAACTCAGGCACTAACGTGGAGGTTGGAGATTTGAGTCTACCCAGAAGCACCTTAGAAGAAAGACCTGGCCATCTACTTCCGAAAAATCAGTGACTGAAAACTACGGGGCACAGTTCTACTCTAACACATGTGGGGTCACCACGAGTCAGAATCCAACTGACTCCACGGCAACTGGTTAGTTAGGAAGTGATGTAGTAGACCAGGTGAGAGATGAGAGCCTGAACCAGAGCAACGTTAATAGGGATGGAAAAGGGACTTCTGGGAAAATATTTAGAAGATAAAATGAGAGCACGCAGAAACCATCTGGCTAAAGAGACAGGGAGTTATCAAGCCTTAGCCTTTCCTTACAAACAAAAAACCACCTCTTCTCTAAAGAATGGTCTACGCTCCCTCACTTACTTTCCCCACTTTCTCACGTTCCATTCACTCAATGCTCTGCAATCTGGCTTCCATTCCCACTGCTCACTAAAACGGCTACCCTTGAACTTGTCAGTGACCTACTGATTTAAAGTCTAGGCTCCCTTCTATGCCCTCTCTGTCGCATTTTATGTCATTACTCTCTCCTTCTCAAAGCTCTTTTCAGGGAGTCAGCTGAGATTAAGCGGTTGAGGGTTGAGAAGAGGCCTCAGACCTGTGGTGGTTTGAAATAGCTACCAGGGAGAATGGGAGGGGGAGCTGACCCTCATGAGTAAAAGGGGTAAGGGGCCCTGAGACCCGCCCCGAGGCTGGTGAGGATGAATTTGTAGTGGCCCAATTAAAAGATGCATTGTAACACTGATCCACGGTTGGGGGTTTGTCTTGGTGGGTAAGATGGAAGGAAAGGGGCCCGAGGGATTGACTATGATGGTGTATGGTCAACCTTGGGGAGCATGCTGAATAGGGAAAATAACAGAGGCCAGAAGGGGCTGGCAGACGAGGAAACAGGGCTCAGAGCTCTGGAAGGAAGCAGAGCAGGGAGAGTGAGTACAGGTGCTGAGAGAACTGGAAGATGAGGTTTTGGGGAAAGAGCAGGATACCTGGTTCAAGATGACATTGCTACAGCAGTTAAAGTGACAGAGGTGGAGGATGCGGTCTGGATTTCTACACTCCCTGTCAAACTGCTCCTCTTCCTCATATCCCTAATCTCAGAAAATGGCACCAATATTCACCTGGTTGCTTACGTGAAAAAGCAACAAATCCTGTCAGCTCTTTCTTCAAATATATCCCAAACTTCCCCACCCTGTCTGTCCATCACTACCACCCTAGCCCACGCCATTATCAACTCTCTCCTGAATTACTTTAATTCCTCTAACAGGTTTTCTTGCTTTCTCTTATGTCCCCTCTAGTCTATTCTCCATGTAACAGCCAGAGAGATATTTTTAAAACATGTTACTCTCCTGCTCAAACCCCTTCTGTGGCATCCTGTGACACCAGGCACGAAATCTAAAAGCCTTTCCACGGTCTACACGGCCCTCAGTGCTCTGGCCGTCACTATCTCTCCAGCCTCAGTTCCTCCCATCCTTCCCTCCTTTACTCCAGCCTGTCCTGTTCCTAGGACATGGCAGGCCACTCCCACCACAGTGCCCACCTAGGTACTTGCTGCTCCCACAGGCCAGAAACTCGTCCCCTAAATCATTCACGTGGCTGGCTTCCCGACTTCATTCAGATCTCTGTCCAAATGCCACACGCTCAGAGCAGCTTTCTTTAATCACCCTGTCACCTTCTAACCCCTTCATAGCACCTTATCACTACCTGACATTATATCCATTTATATATCTGTCTGACACCACCACTGGAATGTAGCCATTTTGTTCATGGTTTGCTTCCAGCATCTGCAATAATGCCAAGCATGCTGGCAATGTTCAAGGTCATTACCACGGGCTTAAGGAGGGTACTGGATAGACTTCTACATGGACACTGAAATTATCCAAGACGATGGCCAGATTGAGGGTAAAGAAAAAAAGTGGCAACGGATCTCCACCCTGGCAGAACGCTGGGGACTAATTAGGAAAAGGATGACAGAGACGAAGCAGGACAGAGGACAGTTTGGCTGGATGGCACGGAACTAGAAAGAACAAAGATTTTTACAGAATGGATGAAAGATGGGCTGACACAGTGCTGAGGCGGAGGAGAATGCCAACTCTGCTTTGTGACTCCTTTCCAGGGCACTTGGGCTGTGGGAGAATTAGCATCCTGGAGGTTAGAGAACAGCAGAGGAAGAAGTTTGGGAGAAAAATCATGTTTAATAAAGATTTCAGGGGAAAAAGACATTAACCACATACTAGCTTTTGGACTTCACTGCTATTTCTTACACTATTATATCACTTCTCATATGTTCGTGTCTCCCCAGTGAGAGAATAATGTCGTTAGTACTGCCAAATTGGCCCCTCACTCAAGCGAACTCATGCACAATGGAACGAAACACTGCCCGGTCCTGTGCCAGCCGCATAACAGACAGCGAAACAGGCCATTGTGATCCATAGGGTTTTCACTGGCTGATTTTCAGAAGTAGATTGCCAGGTCTTTCTTCCTAGTCCATCTTAGTCTAGAAGCTCTGCTGAAACCTATTCAGCATCATAGCAACACACAAGTCTCCACTGACAGACGGGTGGTGGCTGCACATGAGGTGCACTGGCCAGAAAAAAAGAGAATAGGTTCTTTATAAACAGAAAAAAATGTCCTTTGCCCTGAGAGGCTTTCCTGCATCTCCTAAAATGGAAACTTGATCTGACCTACTCCACCAAGTATCACTCAATACCCATTAATCACAATGACTTGTTAATCTGCCTGAGTTCTAAGCTTCATGAAGGCAGGGACCAGGCCTGTCCTACTAATGTCTGCAGTTGGGTGTGCGACTGACCTTGCTTCAGCATCAGCAGCTCACAACACCACTGCTAAGCCTCAACCATTCTGATTTGGGCCCTGAAAGATGCGCTGCATCCATGGCAAATGGGACTAATTCCTTCCCCCTTGAGCCAACCACTTATTTTAGTTCACCAAAAAAAGTTTTTCTCTTTGCCTTCAAAGTTAAAGTAGGTTAAGATTTTTAGACACTTACACTATTCCTTCTCCCAGCAATAAAAAAAAAAAATGTACCTTTATTGACATCCCATATGATAGCTGTGTTATCCACAGAGGCAGAAGCCATTAAATTCCCATCAGTTGCCCAGCAAATATCATATACATCTTCCAAGTGACCCCTAGAATCCAAATTAAAGGAGGAAAAAAGCAATTATTGTCTCAAGGAGGGAAAAGCTATCAAAAATTTAAAGACAAACTCTAGAGCTATGCATTAGAATGGGATTTTAGAAATTTCCACTGGAACTAAATTAGCTACTTCAAGGATATTTGTATCTTTAAAACTGATTCCGTTTTACTAAGGAAAATTTTATATCAGAAATGAAGAAAATCAGTTTGAATCCTGTTTTTATCCTTTAAAACTCTTCTCTGGTGACAGTTTTGCTTAAGTAAAAGTTTTAAATTAGACATAAAGATCAAAATGCATATTCTGTTCAATGCATTTAGATCTTAGCAATAAATCAGTCAGTCCCATGGTCTCTCATCACATCACCTCAGGGTTTTTACAACAGTCCAATTCTCCTTATTCAGCTGAGCCTCATCCTCATCCTGAAAAGCAATCTGTTCAGGCTCCTTGTTATCATTCACCTTCCACAGCAGAATGACAGCATCTGGAGAATGATTCAAATAGAGATCAGCCAAGCTTTATTGAAAGCTTTCATTTCTGGACTTTTAGGCTACATTTATGTCGTTCAGTAGACGCTGTGGTCACCATGATTTACTTCTAAGACTCTGGGCACGAAAAATGGGTTTGCCTTCAGAACTGTTGTCTTTAGTTGCCATCAAGTCAATTCCAACTGATGGCAACCCCATGTGTGCAGAGCAGAACTGCTCCAGAAGGTTTTCAAGGCTGTGACCTTTCAGGAGCAGATCACCGGGCCTGACTTCTGAGGTGTCTCTAGGTGGGTTCAAAGTGCCAACCTTTCAGTTAGTAGTCAAGTGCTTAACCATTTGTGCCACCCAGGATCTCCACCCTTTGCAACTATAACTATAAAATCAAACTCATACCAAATCAGAGTTACACAACATCATCTTAAACAGAAAGGTCCCCTGGCCAGCAAAACATCACTGCAAGATGCCTGACTATATTAATGAATCTAAAGGTATAACATATAGATGGCTGAATGGGGGGTGGGGGGAGGGCACTGATGTAAGGGTTGGCAAATCATTCCTAGCTGTGTAACCTTAAGCAAGTCACTTAATGTCTTAATGCCTCAGTTTCCTCACCTGTAAAGCGGGGATAATAAGAGTACACCTGCCTGATAGGGCTGCTGTGAGGATTAAATGAATTAAGATACATAAAGCACTTAGAACATGATGCCCGGTACAAGGTAAGCTCCATGTAAGTGTTGTAAGTGTTACCTATTAATATCATTATGGATGCATAATAAACCTTAGCCTAAACCAAAACCTGTTGCCGTCGAGTCGATTCTGACTCATAGCGACCCTGTAGGACAGAGTAGAACTGCCCCATTGGATTTGCAAGGAGAGGCAAGTGGATTCGAACTGCTAACCTTCTGGTGAGCAGCCGAGCTCCTAACCACTGTGCCACCAGTGCCCATTGCCATCAATTGTCTGAATCCGCTAACTCCCCCTATTCTGACTCCATGTTCATCACACAACCTTCTGATTCTGATTTGGCTCCCATTTAGGAATGCCCACAGGAGGAGACTGAATGATTAAGTTACGTGGACATATGTCATCTCATTGTAAACTGTAATAGTGGTTGCATACCTCAGTCTGGTGAGCTTGGTTAAAATGAGATTGGCCCTCTTAGGTGGAAAAGTTCTCCATGTGCTTGCTGACTAAAAGCAGGTTTCTGAGCCCTCGAGGCCAAGGGACTCAGCAAAACGAGTGCTACCCCGTGCAACCTCACAGGAAACAGCCTGCTGGCTGGCCTTGCCCAGGGGATGCTCCCCATTCTCCACCTTCCCTTTTCACCAAGACTTCTAAGGAGTTAGTTGCAGTTTGAACCCCTGCTGAGAATTTGTATTTCTCACAAGTTCCCAGTGTAGCAGTGGTTCTCAAAATTTATAATACAGAAGAATCACCTGGGGATCTTGCTAAACTGGAGATTCTGAGTCAGTATATCTGGGGGTGGAAATGCAAATTCTCAGCAGAGGTTTGAACTGGAATGAACCAGTTCGAAGCCCTACATTTCACACATGCTCTGGACATCATGGCACTGAACTCAACCAGGTCTCTCTTCCTCCTGCTAACACAAACTGAGATTTCTGTTGTATTTTGTATGGGCTTCTAAACTGTTCTGGTGTTAAAGCATGGTATAGCCCAAAGACCAAACCCACTGCTGTCAAGTCAATTCCGACTCATAGCAACCCCACAGGGTTTCCAAGGCTGTAAAATCTCTACAGAAGCAGACTGCCGCATCTTCCTCCCATGGAGCTGCTGGTCATTTTGAACCGTTGACCTTTTGCTTCCTAAAGCATGGTATAAAGACTTACTTTTTTGGTATAGTTTTATCCCATTTAAGCACAAGCAGAAAATATGAACCAATCCACTACTACCAAACAAACACAAGTTACAGGGCCATTTAGAAGACAGTCCCTGAGCCAACTATTTAATAAACTAATAACACAAAGACACAGAGCAGACTCTGATCACTGCAGACACTAAACTAACAATCAAACAAGGCCAGACAGTTGCCTTGGGACTCTGACAGAACAGCAAACACCTTTCCTACCTGTCTCCAGCCCAGCCCAGTGGGAGCAAGCAGAAAAGGAGCCATTTCAAACAGGTCTTCTCAGCTTACGTTTGCTGTCCTCCACCCCTCACTCTGACATACTCCCCAGAACATTATTTTACTCAACTATCTGAGTCGGAATCAACTCGATGGCAACGGCTTTGGTTTAGTTTTTGGTATCTAAATGATAGATTAAAAGGGTCCAGTGGCCGCTAAAATAAAAATAAAAAGGCATATCCAGTTCAAATCTCACTATTGGACATGAAACATAGAGGAGTTTTTTTCTAGAGAATTTTTGAAGAACAATACTCACCATCTCCTCCTGATGCTAAAATCTCCCCAGATGGAGAAAAACGTACAACGTTGACAGCTTTGGTATGACGAGCAAGATTAGACAAAAATTCCACAATCGCTTTTCCATCTGGTCCTTTTTCAACTTTCCAGATCTATTCATACCAAAACATTCATTAGAAAAGAAACATATACTGAGCAGCTACTATACTGTGCATGCTAAAACAGCCTATTTTCACAAAGGAAAAGCTAGGTTTTTTTTTTTTTAATGTAAAATGAAGAAGCCTCTCCTATCTGAAAGATAAACCAATAGTCCCATTGCCTGCTGCCCTCCATCCTACCCTTTCTAACACAAATCATTCCCCAATAGGAACCGGGCTCAGGATTACAAAATAAGAGGCATCTCATTTTATCAATCTACCACCAGTTACCAGCTGCCACCTGGTCGACTCAGACTCATGGTGACCCCATGTGTGTCAGAGTAGAACTGTGCTCCATAGGGTTTTCAATAGCTGATTTTTTAGAAGTAGATGTCCAGGACTTTCTTCCAAGGCACGTCTGTGTGAACTCAAACCTTTCAGTTAACCATCTGCACCACCCAGGACTCGTACATCAATCCAACGAATTCTATTCAAAGAAAATGGCTCCTTTGCTGTTCTGGTTCACTCCAGGCTCTGAGAATTTATCATTCTGGACTAGATGATCACGTAGTTTGAGTTTGTCAAGATTAGTTTTAAATAAAAGAATGAAGAACCCTGCATCAAGGGGGGCCTCCCTGTGTTTTTCGATTTCTGCCCCCATTTACCCTGACAGTGGTGTCCACCCCTGCAGAGGCCAGTCTGTGGATCCGCCCAGCCATCCCATACTGGAAGTCCAGGCTATACACCGGCTCCTTGTTGTGCCACGCTATTTCACAAGTGATGACCTTCATCTTCCTGGGTCTCAAAAGGGCAAAAATTCTTCAGGTAGCGTTCTTTTTCCAAAGACAGGGTAAAGCTGGAAAATGTTGGCAATGAACTGAATAACCATATTGCAGCAGCAAACATTTATTGAGCACTTAGTATGAGCCAGGAACTGGGCTAATCATTTAAATGCATGTTATTTTGGAAAAGGATGTTAACGCTGGCATCTGATGGAACATTTACCAGGCTCCACATACAATGCTTCGCTGAGCCACGGCTACTAAAAGTTTATGATTCTCTTGCTACAGCCGGAAAAGCAAAATGAAACACCCAGACAGAGGCAACCCAGGGGCCCAGACCCGGCTGCGCGACCCACCCCGCTTTGTGGGAATGGGGGGCGCGCCCCGAGAGCCAGGGCCGGGGCCGCAAGGGGAGGGAGGCCAGGCTGCGAGGAGGGAGGGGACCCCTTCTTAGGGACGAGGTGCTCGGCCCGGGAGGCCGAGACCTGGCTTGGCGGGGAGGAAACCGCGCAGGGTCGAAACTGGGTGCCCGAAAGCTCGCCGCCCGGCTCCATGCCCGGCCCCCGCGGGCCGCCCGGCCCACAGCGAGCGCCTCTCGCCCTCCGCCCGGCCCACTCCCGCCGGGAGGTCCGCGGGGACATGGGGCCGGCGCCATATAACAGTACCTGCCGGAGCTCGGTCAGTCGGCCGCGCCGCCAACCCCTCCGCCGCGCGCCGCTTCCCGCGCGCCGCAGACCCCGCCCCCGGGCGGGGCTGCAGCTCGCTCCGCCCCCTCGCGGCAGTACGCGGGAAGGCCTCTCCCCGCCCAACCCCTCCGCGCCCAGTCAGGCCCCAACGCCTGCCCGGCCACGCCCTTCAGAGATTCGCCGCCAGGCCTACGCATGGATTCATTCATTCAATCACTTCTTCCCTTGCTGATTTGTTCTTCTAGCAAATATTTATTGAGCATGTGCTATATACTAGACCCTACGCTGGCATAGTGGAAAACAACGCGGAAAGACGTGCCCTCCAGGAATCTACAGTTTCATAAGAGGAAAAGAAGGGCCCTCCTTCAGGATTCGTGAGGAGACTCAGCAACTGTGAGATCCACCCAAAACTACCGAAATGTCGTTCGTTTACTGATGGAGCGAATATTTGAGAGTAATACCTTGTATCAGGTCCCTGGTTGGAGGAGTTTGCACTGGACTACTAACCTAAAGGTTGGCGGTTCGAACCCACCAAGAGGCACACCACGAGAGAAAGGCCTGGCGATCTGCTTCAGTAAGATTGTTGTTGTTAGGTGCCATCAGTCAGTTCTGACTCACCGAGACCCTATGTACAGCAGAAGGAAACACCGTCCGGTCCTGCGCCATCCTCACAATCGTTGTTATGCTTGAGCCCATTGTTGCAGCCATTGTGTCAATCCATCTCGTTGAGGGTCTTCCTCTTTTTCACTGACCATCTACTTTACCATGGATGATGTCCTTCTCCAGGGACTGGACCCTCCTGATGACATGTCCAAAGTAAGTGAGACAAAGTCTCCCCGTCCTCGTTTCTAAGGAGCATTCTGGCTGTGCTTCTTCCAAGACAGATTTTCTGTTTAACATTATGAAAAACACTTTGGATATGGATAGAGATGATGTTTGTACAACATGGTGAATGTAATTAGTCACTGAATTGTACATTTAAAAATGGTTGAAATGACAAATGTTTTGTTATATACGTTTTACCACAATAAACATTTTTAAATGGTTAAATGGCAAATGTGTTGTTACATATTTTACCACTTTTTTTTAAGTATTGACACACACAACAACATGGATGAAGAAATATTTTGACGAGCACAAGAAACATACAGAAGAGGGCATACTGTACGGTTTCATTGATATCATTCGAGAGTAGAAAAAATTAATAAATGAAGAAACTTGCAAATCTCGCCTAGTGCAATTCTGACTTGCTATGATAGACTACTCCCTTCCCTTGCTATTTTTCTCAACCCTCTGGGGATCCCACGTGCCTGTGTAGTTAGCAATCAGACAGGATTCACCTTCCTCCCCTCTCTTGCAGCTCCTTCTAAATGTCCAGATGCTCTGCGTACCCAGAATTCTGTTCTCTAACCTGCAGAGCCTGTAAAGGCATAATTTTCCCCCACCAGAGCTGAGCAGGGGCATTTCAAGCAAAAAAGCCACATACTCACAACTCTTGGCCTTCCCAGTCTGTCAAAAGTAATACATAGATTTTTTAATTTTATTGTGCTTTAGGTGAAAGTTTACAGTGCAAACTAGTTTCTCATTCAAAAATTTGTGCAAAAATTGTTTCGTGACATTGGTTGCAATCCCCATACAGTGCGTCAGCACCCTCCCCCTTTCGCTTTACACCCAGGGTTCCCCCTGTCCATTCATTGAGTTTTCCTATCCCTTCCTGCCTTTGCTCTAGGGCAGGCATGGCCCATTTGATCTCGTATACTTGATTGAACTAAGAAGCACATTCCTCACGTGTGTTGTTTGTTTCATAGGGCTGTCTAATCTTTGGCTGAAAGGGGGATTTTGAGAGTGGCTTCAGTTCTGAGTTAGCAGAGTGTTCGGTGGGCATAGTCTCGAGGGCCATAGTCTCCTCCAGTCTCTGTCAAACCAGTAACTCTGTTTTTTGGTGTTTTTTTTTTTTTTTTTGTGTGTGTGTGTGTGAATTTGAATTTCGTTCTACAGTTTTATCCTGCTCCCTGTCAGAGCCATCAGTGGTGGTAACCTGGCACCATCTAGTTCTTCTGGGCTCAGGCTGGTGGAGGCTGTGGTTCATGTGGTCCAATATTTTCCTTGTGTCTTTGGTTTTCCTCATTCTGCATTTCATTTTTGGATCGGGATTGCATTATATCTGTAGATCGCTTTGAGTAGAATTGACATTTTTGCAATGTTGAGTCTTCCTATCCATAAGCATGGTATATTTCTCCGTTTGTGTAGGTCTCTTTTGGTTTCTTGCAATAGTGTTTTGTAGTTTTCTTTGTATAAGTCTTTTACATCCCTGGTTAGATTTATTCCTAAGGATTTTATCTTTTTAGGGGCTATTATAAATGGTACTGTTTTCCTGATTTCCTTTTCAAAGTTCTCAGTGTTGCTGTACAGGAATCCAACTGATTTTTGTACGTTGATCTTGTATCCTGCTACTCTGCTGAGTCTTTCTATTAGTTTCAGTAGTTTTCTTGTGGAATCTTTGGGATTCTGTGTGTATAGGATCATATCACCTGTGAATAAGGATAGTTTTACTTCTTCCTTTTTAATCTGGATGGCGTTTTGTTATGGATTGAATTGGGTTCCCCAAAAATGTGTGTCAACTTGGCTAGGCCATGATTACCAGTATTATGAGAGTGTCCACCATTTTGTCATCTGTTGTGATTTTCCTATGTGTTGTAAATCCTACCTCTGTTAATAAGGTAGGACTCAATCTACAAGACTAGGTTGTGTCTTGAGTCAATCTCTTTTGAGATATAAAAGAGAGAAGCAAGCAGAGAGACAGAGGACCTCATACAACCAAGAAAGTAGTGCCAGGAGCAGAGCTCATCCTTCAGACCCAGGTCACTGCATGGGGAAGCTCCTAGACTAGGGGAAGATTGATAACAAGGACCTTCCTCCAGAGCTGACAGAAGGAGAAACACTTCCCCTGGAGCTGGCACCTTGAATTCAGGCTTCTAGCCCCTAGACTGTGAGAGAATAAATTTCTCTTTGTTAAAGACATCCACTTGTGGAATTTCTGCTATAGCAGCACTAGGATAACTAAGACATCTTTACTTACTTTTTTTTTTTTTTTTTTGCCTTATGGCTCTATCTAGGACTTCCAGCACAACGTTAAAAAGGAGTGGAATAAAGGGCATCCTCGTCTTGTTCTCAGGGGTAATGCTTTCATCCTCCCTACACTGAAAATGAGACTGGCTTTTGGTTTTGTATAGACACCCTTTATTATGTTGAGGAATTTCCCTTCTATTCCTATTTTCTTGAGAGTTTTTATCAGGAATGGGTGGTGATCATTATAAAATGCCTTTTCTGCATCAATTAAGATGATCATGTGATTCTTTTGTTCTATTTATGTGGTGGATTACATTGATTGATTTTCTAATGTTGAACCATCCTTGCATACCTAGCGTGGATCCCACTTGATTGTGGTGCGGTATTATTTTTTTTTATATAATGCTGAATTCCATTGGCTAGGATTTTGTTGAGAATTTTTGCATCTATATTCATGAGAGATATTGGTCTGTAATTTTCTTTTTTTCTGTTGTGTTTGCCTGGTTTTGGTATTAGGGTTATCCTGGCTTCAAATAGTGAGTTCAGGGGCATTCCTTGCTTTTCTATGCCTGAAATGGTTTGAGTAGTACTGGTGTGAGCTCTTCTCTGAATGTTTGGTAGAATTTTCCAGTGAAGCTGCCATGGATTGAACTGTGTCCCCCCAAAATATGTGTATCAATTTGGCTAGGCCACAATTCCCAGTATTGTGTGATTGTCCACCATTTTGTCATCTGATGTGATTTTCCTATATGTTGTAAATCCTGCCTCTACGATGTTAACAAGGTGGGAGAGGCAGCAGTTGTGTTAGTGAGGCAGGACATGATCTACAAGATTGGATAGTGTCTTGAGGAAATCTCTTCTGAGATATAAAAGAGAGAAGTGAGCAGAGAGACAGGGGGGCCTCATACCATCAAGGACCCGGGGTTCCTGTGCACAGAATCTCCTAGTCCAGGAGAAGATTGATGAGAAGAACCTTCCTCTAGCATGGCAGAGAGAGAAAGACTTCCCCTGGAGCTGATGCCCTGAATTTGGACTTCTAGCCTACTTTAATGGGAGGAAATAAATTTCTCTTTGTTAAAGCCATTCTCTTGTGGTATCTCTGTTACAGCAGCACTAGATAACTAAGACAGCAGCCATCTGGACCAGGCCATTTCTTCGTTGGGAATTTTTTTTTTTTACCTCTTCAATCTCTTCTCTTGTTTTGGGTCTGTTCAAATTTTCTATCTTAGTTTGTGTTAGTTTAGTTTAGGTAGAGTGTTTCTAGAAATTTGTCCATTTCCTCTAGGTTCTCAATTTTATTGGAGTACAGTTTTTCAAAGTTTTCTGTTATGATCCTTTTTATTTCAGTTGGGTCTGTTGTAATGTCCGCCATCTCATTTCTTATTTGGGTTATTTGCTTCCTCTCCTATTTTTCTTTTGTCAGTTTG